AATTATTGTATAATAGACTAGGAGATTTTAGAGATTTTTTTTGTACTACCTACTTTCTTTTTGATCGCAATAGTAGGTACTTATGACATTATGTTTATGACCCATAAAACACTTGACGTTTAAATGTGACAGATCAGCGCTCCCAAATGTATCTTTATCTTTCTCTTTCTATAGCATTAAAGAGAGATAAAAAATCACTCATGGCGCACTTATTTCGTCAATAGAAAACCGCGTATAAAAGTAATTATATCACTTTTTCCGTTAAAATACCGTTGGAATATTCACACAATAGATGTATCCTCTCTTTTGAACATTGGAACCCATAGAGATATGTTGCGCTCGCACTCCCATCGAGCGTCATGACTATTATACAGTGTGGCCAAGGGGGTAGTATTAGGATCTGGAGAACGGTTGGAGTTTCAATGTTGGTTAGATTAGGAAAAAGTTATGCAATTTAACGCTAAATGAAATGGTAGGTACTTTGACATTTGAAAAATTCCGAACATTTTCCGAGATATCCGGAAAAAAACGAAATTTTGCGAAATCGATTTAATTTTTTCCTGAGCTTAGTTGAGGAGATATTTCAAAATATTTAAATGTCACTTCATCGTTACCAATTTTTCTACAAGATGACATTAGAGAGTTATTGGAACTAATAAATACTGCTTCGCAGTATTAAGGATCTACATACGTTATTTTATTAGTGCATCAGCACTATTTTTCCAAGCAAAAAAACAGTTATTGGAAGACTGTAGTAGGTGCTAGAGTATTATCTTATTTTGTATTCATAATTTTGACAGCTGATAGCTATTTTTATAAATCTCAACCTCAAAAAGTGTTTATTTTTGTTTGTGATTTTCTGCTGATACCCATTTTTCGATGCTACCCACAGTAAAATGGAAAACTACTGGAAAAAATTAATTTTCTAAAGTAAAATCACAGCATAAAATTATGTCATCGTCGAAAAGCGAAACGTCAAAGTCGTCCAAAATGTCAGAAATTTAAAATAAGGGAAGTTTACTGCCTCGCACTAACCATACACAAATAAAGACAAGCAGTAACTTTATTAAGGGAATTCTTATTTTCGGACCCAATTGCGCATGCGTAGATGCCGAAATAAGGCTAATTTAAATACTGCTTGTCCTTATTGCACGTCCAATAACTCTCTATTATCAATTAGGCAATCCAACGATGTGTCAAATATGGCCGATTGTTGGCACACATGTGCCCATAACCCTAAATTTCTTGTGTCAACAGTCATCGTCCCGATCGTCCCTTGTGTTTACCTTTGACGTTAGGAATTTTAAAATAATTAATTCCAGCTTTTTACAAATTTCCTTTCAAAATATTTCTAAATAATTATGAGTGTGTGTTTTTTTAGGTCTCAAAACTCAAAAAATTAAGCAATAAGCAGCAAAATACGCAGTCAGCACAGAAAATGACACACCGTGCATTCGGTATTTTGATCAGAGGCAAGCTCATTTGCGTTCGTTTATTAAAATTTCGGGCACTCGGATACTGCGTTCAACTCTTAGAGCAGGTAAAGCGCTGTCCTACGGACATAAGGAGTAGGAACGCGCCATTCTGCTTATGAAACTAATATGAAGCCAAGTTTTTGGCAGGTGTTTGGCACCAAAATACAGGTAGAGCATTGAATTGCCATAACCGCCATTTTTTGTGGGCCAAGATGCCTGGAAAAAAACGGCTTCATTTTCCAAATCCAGGTTACTACTCCTTTACCTTTACCTGCTCTAAGGTTCAACTGCTCTGTTCGTTCGCTGGTCACGTGATTACGGCTCCACTCAACACGATCTGCTCTTTGAGCAAAATACTGAATGCAAGGAAAACCAAGAAAATCTTTTGTGTGCCAACAATTCGTCAAAAAAAATCACGTGGTTTGGATTGCCTAATTAGGCAAGCTCGGAGAACTCTGATCAAAATACCGAATGCACGGTGTGTCATTTTCTGTGCTGACTGTGTATTTTGCTGCTTATTGCTTAATTTTTTGAGTTTTGAGACCTAAAAAAACACACACTCACAATTATTTAGAAATATTTCTAAAGGAAATTTGTGAAAAAGTGGAATTAATTCTTTAATCTACGTCGGTGTCATTATGACACATTTAGCATTGTCATTTGAATGTCATTAGGTCCTTCATAATAGCACTAGTGCGTTTAAGAATTCATAATAACACCCAAATTTTGAAATGAAAAATATACAAAAAGAAAGTTAGTTGCCAGAAGAACCTTTTCAATAATGCTGTCTCTATATTCGAAGAGACACTTTCGAACTCAGATTCACCAATAATAATATTATTTTCCACCATAAAATTGAATTTATGGCACAAAAATGGACTCCAATATTGAAGCTGCCAAAGTCAAAATTCTAAAAACCAACAAGCAGGTTCTCGACTTGTACGGGCACCTGCTAAATTTCAAATTTTAATTTGAAAAGTTTTTGCTATTTCAAGGCAAATCAAATCTATTTGAACCATTGTAGATTAAATTTTGAATGATACACGTTCGATATGAACTTTATTAATGAAACTTGTGTAACTAAACCACTCGGCTAACGCCTCGTGGTTTAACGTGGTAAACACGCGTTTCATTATGGCGTTCATATCGAACTTGTATCATTAATAACTATTAAAAGTCCCAACGTCAAAGGTAAACATAAGGGACGATGACTAATGACACAAGAAATTTAGGGTTATGGGCACATGTGTGCCAACAGTCGGCCATATTTGATACATCGTTGGATTGCCTAATTTTAAAATTTGACGTTTCGTCTTTGGGCCACCGTCTTCAACTTGATTTTTTTAAATACGGACCCTTATTTTCTATTTAACCAAAGTACCATTTTATTGATCATTAAGTCGCGCAACTTTTTCCTAAACTAGCCAACATTGCAACTCCAACCGTTCTAGATCCTAATGCTATCCCATCTTTATCTTGGATACATTGTATACCTAATTAAAACATGTAGAAATTGTAGCCTTGTGGCAATAGACTTTTTGAATAACATAATTTATATTTTCAAAAGCATGAGGGATGATGAGGCTACCACGAGATGCCTGCCAGAGCAGTACTTTCTTAATTAACCAATATTGAAACATTATTTAAAAAAATCATATGTCGTGGAAAACAGGTTAGGGTAAGCACATAGTGGAGCGACGAGCAAAGTAGTGAGCAATGAGGAGATCAAAGCAGCGAAAACTAACACACGAGATTAAATTGTTTGGCACATAAGCTTTGTTTTGGTTCGAAATTTGGAACGGTTCTAGGATTGCGCAGAACTGCTTGCGCACAAAAAAATAATAGAGGACTGTTCTAATACTAGTTCTGAACCGATTCGGAACCAAAAAAACCAAAACACAAAGTTCTAAAACAGTTCCTCCTTCGGAGCAAGAACTGAGAGAACCGTTCTAGAACAATCCCAGAGTTGTTCTTAAAAAGTTCTAGATAAACCAAAACACTCTCAACATAGTTCGATTACGATTCTGAAAAAACCAAAACGCATTTTATAATATGCGCATGTGCAGAATGATTCCGAACTAGTTCTGAGTGAAACCAAAACAAAGCTATAGTGAAGAGCAGTGCGGAGATTTAGCAGCGCTGTTAATATCGAGCAAAGCGACGCGTTCAAGCAAGTTTGATTTTTCTACTTTGCTCGTTTGTCTCTGTGTTGTAAAAATAGACGTTGAACAATTAATAAGTAGTATTTTTGTTAAAAATCTATTGTGGAACCAAAAAGATACTCAACATCATAACCAATACATATTAGAAAAGTTGTGGGATGATGTAGCAAGAGAAATGAAGTCAACAATCAAGTGAAAAATGTATTATATTATTAATTGATTGCTGCTGGACTAACTGGGATTATGGTAAAGTTAGTCCATTTTTTTACCAATCTTTGTTCTATTTTCTCCAAAATGTAATCAAAAGTTTTAATATTCATTAAAAGATAAGAGTGAAATTTTTCTGGATGTTGTCGTAATTCCTCATATAAATGGTGATATTCGCCTAATCGAAGTTTGCTTCTGTTTATATGGTGTGCACTACACCTTCTTTTTTTCTTTCTGTCTTCTCTTTAAATACCAAAATTTTTAAAGACGACGCCGACGTTTCGGTTTAAACCAAATTATTCATTTTTATTTTTTTCACTCGAGTATTAACTCGACACTATGTGCATACAATTCTCTCATCCACTCTCTGCTCAATTGACGCTCTGCTCTCCGCGCTGTCCGCTGCTCTGCTCGCCGCTCCACTATGTGGTTAGCCTTAGTGCGCGTTCATATTGACACCGCTCGAGCGGTGAGCGATGCGCGATGCCGCTGTAGTGATGCCCAAAAATAATTTTAACATTATATTTCAAATGAACTTGGTCACACAGGAGCGGCGCGTCCCGCGGTGTTTAACATGTTCACTCGAAATATAATGTTAAAATTATTTTTGGGCATCGCTACAGCGGCAGCGCGCAACGCTCACCGCTCGAGCGGTGCCAATGTGAACGCGCACTTAGACGGATGAACCGCTGGTTCTTAGTAAGTAAGTAAGTAAGTATAAATTTAGTCCAAGAGCTATGTTCTGGATTCGATTAAGTACTTAATTTCTTGCATTAAATCTTTGAAAAATCTTTTGAGAAAATTGAAAAATAATTTTAAACATTATTTACAACAATTTAAACCAAATAATTTCAAACCAATATAATCTTGTACTCAAGCGGCTCCTGATACGTGCTCCCTGACTAAATGCAGGCCGGCTGATAATATGAACATAATTTTTTGTATGAATCTCGATTATCTTTGGCGGATACTATACCATTTTGTATAACCATAGATTCACCTTTGGGATAAGTCCCCAGTTTTTTTTCACAAAACCTTCTTCATCTCCTCAGAAAAATTTTAGCCTTCTGGACAATTTACATAAATCATGTTGGCAAAATTGACTCTATATCCGATTGTCGTAGATCTAGTTGTAGAGTTAGAAAATAAATCTTACCTCATTGGCGAAAGCTCGCGATTATAACTGCCACTGAACGTGAATATTCCTGGCGAGTTCACTTCAGAACCGGAATGAAAACTCGGCGAGTTCGACCATTTATGAGCGGTACCGCTACTGGTACTGCTACCCAACGATTGATGTTTTATCAGTGGAGGACCCTATAACAAAAATAAATTTAACAAATAATTTTCACGATTGAAAACTCTTACCGATGATGGTACGCTGGAGGTCGTATTACTTCTTGAGGAAGCAAAATAAGATCGGGCTGCGGCAGATGAGTGTTGCGGTACCGTCGATCCTTTTTCCCAAGGTGGTTCCGAGGCACCTTTCAGGTGTAAAACGGACACATTTGGCCCTCTGAAACAACAATTTTCTTATGTTATAAAGACAAAATGTATTCTTCATTTTGCAGTTTTCTTCCGTTATAGTTTGTAATAGTTATTACCGGTACAAATAAATAACGGCACGCCTTTATTGAATGATAAAACACATAAAGATATACAAATACGTGGGATTTTTAAAAGCAAGTAGTCCTAACTTATAAGGTAACGCGGCCCACTCTTGCAAATAAAATGTTTGGCTTCAAGTTCAATGAACAGAGGCCGAATAAATACCTAATTTTGATAAATATAATACACAAATATGAAACTTGAAAATTAATCAGGAATTTTACATTTTAAATTGGGCCAACTCTGAGACAAGGCGACTGAGTTGCTTAAAAAGGAAAAACACAAAAAGCTTGTTTTATTGCGAAACGTTTTTCTTCTTGGCTTATACAAATACGCCCAAGGCACTAAGGAAAACCAGAAGGTTCGGTAAATGTTTGTAGTCCTACTACATTTTTAATGAAATTAAAGATTCAACTAGTTAGGTAATTGGTATTGTTCAGGAAAAATTCCCTCTCTGTAATAAATCTAACAAAATAAAACACCTGCTCTATAGACTTTGGCTCTATATTTAAAGCATGTTTTGTTTCCAAACATCCCATCCCTGCAGTAATATTTTTCATATATTATGTCATTCTGTCAACTTGTTGCTTCAAGAAAATAAATGGATGTACTTAAAAAATTTATTATAATATACCGTTGAGAGCCGATAAAAACTACATAATGCAAAATGGCTTTCATTAACATTCACGCGGTTAATAAACGTGTGAATTTTTATTTAAATTCAAAAGAGCCTATGTTTACCTATACGTTTAACGGAAAGTAAAAGTTTCATTAACTATTAACTGCAAATTTATGATTTATTCAAAATATTTCATGCATAATAATTATAGTAGGTATGTGGTATAAACGTGACAATAAACATTTTTTTTTTTTTTGACAGAGGATTAAATAATTATTTCCACCAATTTGGAAGTTTGCTATTCGGTTCGTAATTAACTTTTGTGATTAATAAAAAGTTAATTTCTGAGGCGGCAGGTGCGCGAATTCGCTCAGCGAAACTTTTAGCCTCGCGTTCTCAACTTTTAATAAGTTAATTTCACTAAGGAACTTTTTGTTGTCCCCTCGAAATTGTCTAAATAATTTCAAAAATTCATGTTATACGAGTCAATTATTACTTCTCGTGGATTGAATTATCACACATGAGGATTTAGAATAGGGTATTTTGTTTGAAAAAAGATAATTCTCGACTCTATGAAGAAGAAGTTTGATGAAAACGATTATGATAGTGATAGCCTCAAATCTGAAGCAAAAAGCAAAGAAAAAAGATAATAGATATAATGTCTGTCGATTTTAATCTGATACTCCAAAGGAATGTGAGCTGGTGGCTCCCTACATTAGAACGCCAATGGTTACCTGACGTCACACCTGTTTTTGCCATATGAATCATCCCCTCGCTCCTCATACGGAAAGTGTTAGATTAAAAACGACAGACTTTAGGTAATGTAAGTCTTTATTATAGTACAATCTGTGAATTTGAAGAGATCATTATAGACAATTTAAAAATCAGATTTAAAAAAACATGAGATCGTTTGTAATTTGTTGCTTGTTATGTCTGAATCCCTTGAAACAGTTATGATTAAGCTATAGAAAATATAAGTACATTCAAAAGACTTGATAGTTAAGCTAAAACTGAAGTTATGGGTCAAATTCGAACGCGAAAAAGCCGTAGGTTAATCCAGCATTCCGAAAGACATAGCAATGGAAACTGGAAAACCACCAAGTTTTGTAGCTCATCAACAAGGTGAAAAATTATTCGACAAAAGGGGACACTATACAGGACCAAATGAACAAATACTTAAAATAGAACAAGAAAACAGAAATAGATGGTTGAAGTAAAGTTGAAATGTACATGGTTTCCCATGAAATATCATAATGTTGAAGATGTACACCAGAAGAATAAAATATTTGACTGATACAAGGGAAAAGAATTATTGATGGATAGAAGCAATGACACGTTGAAATGCTGAAATGTTGGATACATTAATTTACCAAGCAACCTTTAGAAGAACAAATAAAAGATAAAAATAAGTCTCGATTGATAGTAAGAGGTTTGGCAATGAAGTGGAGGATAACGACCTCCTACTCCTACCCAAGAGAGAAGAAATTGTAGAATTCCTACTGACACATAGAAAGATAGGAAATGACAATGAAGAAATGTTGACCAAAATGAAATTAACGTGTAGAAGAAATATAAAAATATAGTGCCAAGCGATGAGGGGTTTCTTTGTTTCCACCAGCATTTCTTCACGTGCCCTTGGAAGTGTTTATTATGTTACCTTTTTTTTGTTTGGTTGTTTTTGTATGTAATAGGATAGGGTTAGATGATTACGAATATTTTTGGGCAAGGTAGTCTGAAATATGTGCTGGAAAACGTTCCAAATCGCTTGATGATACCTCTAACAGACGTTCTATAATAACTCGCAAGAATGATTCAAGAAAACGTTCCGAATCACCTGTTAGCAGAACCGTCAGAACATAGGTACACGCTAGAATCAAAGAGACGTCCATAATCGGATTATTCAACTTCAGGAAATTATGTAAGATCTCGAGTAGTTGAGGCTCAGGTGCCTTACAGCAACGCGACTGCAACGTCAGCTACATATCCCTGTATTTGGAATTTTCCTGAAGAAAACAATTCTGAAACAACACATCAGGAACGAATCGAAAGGTTGGAAAATATGGTCAAACAATTAACTAGACAGAGACAATCAATTGGAAGTAGGTCTGAAGTGCCTAGATTAACTGTTAAAAGTGATTGTATTCCTAAACTCTTCTTAAACGTAATTTTCCAGAGCATACTAATTATGCGGCCCTTCTGCAAACAATGTTGAATTGGAAGAAAATACTATCTGAATCAATGATATCTCACGTTACAAAAATGGAACTCCTAAGAAACTGCCACGTTTCTGGAAAAGAAGCAGTTTCTTGCCTTATACATGGGATAGATGATTCAATTATTCAAAGTAGTGTCAGAGCTGGACGTTATTGAAACCCAGAAACCCTATACGAAGAATACTTGTCAGCACTAAATATTGATGTTTATCCAAAACAAAAAGAGCAAGTGAGATTGCCAAATGTGAATAGAATCTTCACATTTAAGAAACCACATCGGAAATAAGCAAAATAAACTTGAAACAAAGTGTTTCAATTGTGGTCAATAGCTTCGAAATCTTCAAAGCCTAGGAAGGAATGTAAAAAAATGTAAGTTATTGGGACACGAACAAAAAAATTGCCCAAAGCAAAATTTCTACAAACCTGGTAATTCTAAACCTATTTTCAATATTGAAACTGCTCAAAATAATTGTGAGACAAATGTATGTTACTTTATGGATTGCTCCATAAATCAGAATTAAATATTTTACGTGGATATGTCGATTCCGGCAGTAGTGTCGTTACTTTACGTGCATCTGACGTCAAAGCTTTAGGGTTACAACTACATCCTGTACAGAAACGTCTGAGTGAATTTGCAGGAGGTTCTTTAATTGTAAACCATAAAGTTGTCTGTTGATCTGGCTGAAGAAAAAGTTGAAGCTCTTGTTGTACCCTATGTAATCTATGAAAGAATTTTCTTAAGAAAATTTAGAAAATATTGTCAGGACTGACACTGATGCAGGCACAAAAATGCAACTTCTTTCTTTGCTTAATAAATACAGATACTGTTTTGCTACAAGTATGTCTGAACTAGGGAAGACTCATATTGCTGAAATTTGCATTGTTTTGAATGACAAAACAAACACCTGTTACTTATCGATCATATCGTTTAGCCTTCGCTGAGCGGGAAAAAGTTAGAGACATAGTTCGAGAATTACTTGACAATAATATCAACAGGAAATCTTCTTATCTTGCTTCTGGATATCATCAGGTGCCAGTTGCCCCGAATTCTATCGAAAATACAACTTTAATAACCCTCGATGGCCATTACGAGTATGTAACTATGCCATTTGGTCTTGTAAATGCGCCTGCAGTCTTTCAGAGGACAATTCATAAAATGCTAGGTTATTTACGTTATACTAGAGCTACGGCATACTTAAATGATATTTTGATACCGTCAACAAAGGAAAAAAATGGATTCACGAATTTAGAAAACTGTTACGTGAAGCCAATATAATATTACGTTTTATTAAATGTAGATTTCTTTTGAGTCAAATAAGTTATCTGGGACATGAAATTTCCTATGAAGGAATCAAACCTGGATCCGAAAAGATTGAATCTGCACGAGATTTTCCAACACCGACAGACGTATGTACATACAATTGTTCCTAGGACTCGCCAGTTATTTTCGCAAGTATATTAAAAGATTTGCGCTTATTGCGAAACCTCTTACAGATTTAACAAAGAAATGCGCTTCTTTCAATAATTGGCAGACCAAACAGCAGAATGTATTTACAGAACTTAGAGAAAAATGTATAACTCGTCCTACGCTCGTTTCCAGAAGCTCCACTATTGCCAGAAGTTTTGATGCTAGAAAATGTAACGGAAAAATTGTTAACTGCAAGAGATATTCAGGCCTATGATGTATCATTTTCTGTTCGTTTTTTTAAACTAACGTTATCTGTCACTGATTATTCTATGTCAAAATAGAGACAGAAATAGATGTTGAGCCTTAACACAGCCGTTAAAATAACAAGACAGGATATATCATAGGCCTGATTGCGTCAGAAACATTAAAAGATCCGTTACTAGCTAGAATTTTCCAGTGAACATGGAAAGGTTGACCAAAGGATTCAAAAAACTTATCAGCCGAATTCATTCCATTTTATCAATGAAAAAATGAAATAACAAGTTACCAAGACTGTTTACTTTGGGGTATAAGGGTGATTATTCCTCCAGGGGGGAGGAAACGAGTATTAGACCTGCTGCACGAGTCTTACCAGGTATTATTATGCACGATCCTTGGTGGCCGAACCT